ATGTTCATAGCAGCCCAATTTGTAATCGCTAAATCGTGGAAGCAACACAAATGTCCATCCACTGAGGAATGGATAAAAAACAATTGTGGTATTTTTATATAATGGAATATTATTCAGCTATAAAGAAAGATAAACTTGAGGTTTTTATACCTAAATGGTCATAACTAGAGACCATACTCATAAGTGAAATAAATCAGACCTGCATGTGTAAGCAACCTAAAAGAGTTGTCTCACTAGTGTAAGAACTTGAAAGAGTGAATAAAAATTAGGAGGTATGATAGACATTGTGAAATGAAAAGAAACTGCTCAAAAGTCAAAAGCAACTGGGATGAGGGAAAAGAGAAAAGAAAGAAGGGGGAAATTATGTATATAGAGGACAGCTATCATAATTGTACTACTGTCTTCTATCACTTTGTTGAAAGCAACAGTTAATGATTAATTATTTGATCTTGTGTGTCTATATTTGTTTTCCTGAGTAACCACTTTGAAGATATCAATATGTAATACAACAACCACTGTTAATTCTTTGATACCTTGTCTGTAACTCAGTATTGCTCGTGTTCTTTTGCTATTTTGTAAATGGATGTCTGTTCGTTTAAAAAAAAAAAAGGATTGTTTTCTTTAGATCTGTGAGGTAAATACTAATGGGATTTTAATTGGGATTGCACTGAATCTGTACAACAATTTTGGGAATACGTCCATTTTCACAATGTTGGTTCTTCCTGTCCATGAGCAAGGAATATCTTTCTATTTTCTGATATCCTCTTCAATCTCTTTTTTCAGAGTACTATAATTTTCACTGTACAGATCTTTCACTTCTTTGTTAGATTGATTCCTATTTCATCTTTTCAGATGCTACTGTGAAAGATGTGGTTTCCCTAATTTTTCTCTTAGTCTGTTTGTTGTTTGTGTACAGGAATGCTACTGATTTTGAGTATTAACTTTATACCCAGCTACACTACTGAATTTGGTTATTAAATCCATAAGCCTGTTGGTGGAGTTTTGGGGGTCTGCTAGGTACAGTATCATGTCATCTGTGAATAATGATAATTTCACTTCTTCCTTTCCTATCCTTATTCCTTTTACTTCTCCCTTGTCTAATTGTTCTAGATAATATTTCGAGAACTATACTGAATAGGAGTGGTGACAGTGGACATCCTTGTCTTCTTCCTGATTTTAAAGTGAAAGTTTTCAATTTTTGACCATGTACTATGATGTCAGCCATTGGTTTATCATACATGGCTTTGATCAGCTTAAGGTAAAGGCCATCTATCCCTATTTTTTGTAGGGCTTTTATCATGAATGAGTGTTGGACTTTGTCAAAGGCTTTTTCTGCATTAATGGAGATGACCATGTGATTTTTGTCTTTGGCTCTATTGACATGGTGTATTGCATTAATTGATTTGTGTATATTGAACCATCCCTGCATTCCTGGGATGAATCCCACTTGGTCGTGGTGTATAATCTTCTTGATGATTTGTTGTATTCTGTTTGCTAGTATTTTACTGAGAATTTTTGCATCTATATTCATTCGGGAGATTGGTCTGTAGTGCTCTTTTTTGGTTGGGTCTTTCTCTGGTTTTGGTATCAGGATAATACTCGCCTCCAGGAATGAGTTGGAGAGAATTCCTTCCCTTTCAATTTCATTAAAGAGTCTGAGAAGAATTGGTGTTAAATCTTCCCTAAATTGCTTGTAGAATTCAGCTGTGAATCCATCAGGACCTGGGCTTTTCTTCATTGGCAACACTATAGTTTTAAATAAATGCATTAAATAAAATTTGGCAGAATTAACAGGGAAATAGGCAAACCCATTTTCAGAGTATGATACCTTAAAACTTTTGTAATTAATAAAGCAAGCAAACAAAACACGGTAAAGATACAAAAGATCTAAACAACAAAACAAGCTCAGCTCAAGTGACATAAGAACGGCATGTTTGCTTATAATGGCACTGAACAAATGTCTACGCAGATGGATAAAGGGATAAACTGCCTCCTGGTCATTCAGCACAACATTACTCAGCAATAAAAATGAACAAGATGAATCTCAAATCAGCAGTGCTGAGAGAAGAAGCCAGACAGAGAAGCTGGAGTCCATAAAACAGGATTCTGTTTTACAAAGTTCAGACGGACAAAACCAATGCACCATGCAAGACATTTATAGAGTCTCCTCTTACTTCAGTGGGGTTCATAGCCAGAAGAGGCCATGAGAAGGGCTTCCTGGGACTGGTGAGGTCATCCTGGTGATCTGCACACTGGCTAGAGAGTGCTCATTCAGTGAAAATTCACCAAGGTGCACACTTCTGACTTGCACCACTTCCTGTGGGTAAACTGGAGCAAAACCTTTTTTGAGGGTAGTGTCCTATGCCGCGTCTCAGTGCATTTGAAAGGGCGGTACCTTCCCGAGAGATGCCCGTGGTGATGGTAACAGCACAGGTTCTACAACAGGCCTCCCGGTGGGCAACCCCAGCCCTGCCTGTGTCCAGCCACGAACAATGGGAGACCTTAAACTCGGTGCCTTTCCTTTCTCATCTGTAGTTTCTTACATCTCTTCAAGTTTCAAAGATTAGATTAAGTGTTCTCAACGCTATTTGGCGTGTGTTTGTTTGTCGGGCAGAAGGTAAGTATTTCTGTTACCAGTGTCAGGATCGTGCCTCACGGTGATGAAGAGTGAAACTGCACATGCAAATTCATTTAAAAGATAAAAAGGCAAAGAAGTAAAAGATACAAAAGCAAGGAAGTAAAAGACACAAAGCCAAGGACAACAGAGCGCCTGCCTGCCAGGAGGGGCTGCTGAGCAGGATGCCCATGCTTTGTCTAGGGTTTTAGAGATTTAGAAGGGAGCTTGGGCCATCGCTTAATGTAATCTCTACCCTGCAGGAGACTACAAAATTCTAGTGTCCAATCTCTGTAGTATTCACACAGTGCCTGTGCAGGACCCACGCACCCTTGAGCCAGTGTCCTACCTGAACATGATCTGGGGGTCCCCGATAGCTGAAGGACACCTGGCAGATGTTTGTGTGAGATCCCCGGGGTCGTGAATAGTGGACTCCATGTTGGGCTTCCTGACTTCGTCTGCTTACTGCCTGATAGAACCCTAACTCCTGTCTCACTGATTTCTGTGACATTTCTACAACCAGCATTGGGTATCCCCACCAGGAGAAAAGGCGCCATGCTTCCTGGTTGCTCAGAAACTGACCCAGAGAGGCGAGTCACAAGTGACCAGGCTGTTGGTTCATTCACAGTCACTGTCAGATTGTGGGCTGTCCATCAACCATGGACTGGACCCTGGAGAATCTTCAGCAACACAACCAGACACTGCAAACACTTAAACATCTCCACTTATTTTTTTAATTCAATACATTTTTAATAGCTTGTGTTCCTACTAAGTGATAATAAAAATCTTAAAATTAACAGTAAACTGTATTTAAAAGGCTACATATCAAAATGTGTACAATAGGGGCTGGGGATTTAGCTCAGCGGCAAAAGCGCCTGCCTGGCAAGCGCAAGGTCGTGAGTTCGGTTCCC